CTCTGCTGTTATCGTTATCTGTGGTTCACTGTTTTCTAACTTACAGCAAACGTACAAAGGGACACCTAACACTATACTCTGCTGTTATCGTTATCTATGGTTCACTGTTTTCTAACTTACAGCAAACGTACAAAGGGACACCTAACACTATACTCTGCTGTTATCTATATCTATGGTTGACTGCTTAGAGTAAACACACGAGGAAAGATATCTTTGTACACTTACCCTAAGGTTGTCATGGTAACGATGGTGTACCAGAAAGCAGAGGGGATGCTGGTAAAGTTTGTTTCCTTAACGTTTTTCTCGGCGTAAAACATGACCGTGGCGAAGATGATGATGGCCATGGCCAGTGAGAAGACTAGAAACCCCAGTTCCGAGGCACAGCTCTGTAAGGTATACCCCAGGATCCGGAGTCCTTGCGAGTGGCGGGAAAACTTGAATATCCGGAAAACCCGGAAAACCCGCAGCGTAACAAATGCTCCGGACAGATCCTCGTTGTCAGTGAGACCGAGACTGATATAGTAAGGAAGGATCGCCACGACGTCGATGACTGACATGACACTCCGCATGAAGTGGCACCTGCTGGGTGCTGCATATAAACGTAGTAGGTATTCAGCCGTGAACATGAGCACACACGCGGTGTCCAGGCAGAAGAACGCGATCTTGTACGTCTCTCCGCAAGAGAGGATCTCTTCCAGCTCGGATGTAAACCCGCACGGAATCGTCTCCACCACGTTGGCCATCACGGACACCGCGATAAAAAAACCCGTCACGTAATAAAATACCAGAGCCGCCGTACTGGTGTGAGGGTTCTCAAAGGCCCGCCACATCTTCTCCCTGATCGTGTAGTTGGACGTATTGGTCTGTTCTTTCACTTCTGATAGTTTGTCGTCCATAATTCGTTCAGCATTCTCCCGTTTCTTGTCCCTGTAGTCCTCGTAACAACAATCACCCATGACATCTGGAATAATCCCGAAAAAAGCCAGCTCCTCGTCGTAAGCCATGAGGCACTCGTGCTTCGAGAAATGCAACTTGCCCGTTCGGTAGTAGTTGAGGACGTATCGGAACAGGTGGGGATCTCGGTCGAAAAAATATTCGTTCTTTTCTTCGTCGTAGAAAAATTCCCTTTCGTTTGATCCTAGTAAGGTATCGGAGTATTTTTCTACGGTGTTTCTCCATGTTTCAAACCGACAACCGCTGATGTTGATGATAAATTTTTCATCCTCTCGACCTTCTTTTTGTTTAGTAACCGGTGGGGAGGGAAGAGGATTGTTAGCGATAGGAACCCAACCGATAGCCGCCGCTCGGGCAAAAGGGAGCCAAGCAGCGACAGAAGCCATTTGTCACCTCTTGGAAGAGAACGGTTAGCCACTAGGTAAAGACACTGATATACACTGAATGCTACCCACTTCCTGCCTCTCTACACTTTCAAGCAGACGAAGGTTGCGCTAGGCCTAACCAGCCAGAGATCGAATCACACTTCTGATAAGATCCCCCCTTAACTCCTGTACTTTTAAACTTTATAATTGAAGCCATTTCATATAGGTTGATAAATTTAAACCAATCCTCTCCCACCCTAATGTTCGATATATTCTTAACTTAAATAGCAAGTGAACTCTGCCATAAAACGCTGTGACAGTAGCCACGTCATGTGCGCAGGCAGACGCGCACGACAACGTAGATACGGGTGTGAATGCGCGATCACCGTTTATGTCGCGTGTGTCGTGTGCAGCGACGAACGTGAAAGGTACGCTTGTAAACATCGCATATCACGCGAACATTTATACGAAACACGTCGCGTGGTTCCTTATTACAGTACATCAAAGAGACATTTGTTTCTACACGATGAGTTATAGCTGGAAAAGAGTGTTTTGGCCAATAGCGAGCTGTTTATCTGTACCCATAGAGACGTCTGTTTCAGCTCTTAACTTAAACCCAGGTTTACCTTGCGGTCCTATGACTTATGACGTCAAACATATTCAAAATGTATCATTGGTAATGAGTCTAAAGCCTAAATAACGAATAATTTTAAACTACGTCTTACACGCTTCTTAGCGTGAGTCTATATCTTTCCCAGGCAAAGAGATTCCAGGCTTCACTCAGTCCCGGCGGTCACCATAGTGACAATGACGTCAAGAACGATCGGCTCTAACCAACGAATCACACGCGCCTTCACTCACTGCTTATCCTGTATCACAGTTTTCTCACCAGGAGTGTAATTCACCGTATCTCGTGCTCAGTGCCATAGTTTAGAGACCGGAAAAATATCAACCTACTAAAAAAGAAAATTATGAAAGCACGAAACGATGTATTTTTTTTTCTTATCTAGAAATCCTTTTAATAAATCTAGGCAAAGAATGACCTTGTCTTGATTTCTCCAACTTATATGCTGCAAATGAGATCAGAAAAGATTGTTTAATCCCTTTATTGGTCACTTTGATACATTCGCTACAACATAGGAGCTGTACAGCGTAGATATTAAATAACCACAGAGTTAGTCCTTCAGAAGCTATACAACCATAAATAGTAAA